GGTACCTGCACCCCAACATTTATAGCAGCAATGTTCACAATAGCTAAACTGGAAAGAGCCCAGAAGTCCATCAACACATGGATAAAGACGATGTGGTATGATATATATAGATATAGACATAAGAATGAATATATATCATATATCATATTTATATATATATATATGAATATTACTAATCTGCTAGGGTTGCTATCATCAGGGTTAAAGGTGATAACATAAGCAAAAGCTTGGCAAATACAAGCAGAAGACCCAAATCACAGATCTGGCTGGTGCCATCTCTTACGATTCCTAAAAACAAATCATCGCAACTGAGAGTTCATCTCTTCTCATCTAAAGTCAGGATGCTTTTAAGGGGGCAAAATATGGGATAATAATCCAGCAGTTATATTTCAAGTTTAGTTACAAGTTAAAATTAAAATCTTCCTGCCCACAGAGAAAAGGTAGTGATAGCAGGAATTATTATCAGCTAGTAAATAAAAATGGGCACTATTTTTTAATAGATTATTTACCAGACTATTTATGGGGACTTTGCATTTTTCTATATGAATTTTACGTAACAGAGGCATGAAGCAGAGAACATACCTCCTCAATTTAAGGATACTTGTTTTTATGTTTCTAAAACTAGGATGTGGCTATATATATATATATGTATATATATATATATGGAATTTCTACTCTCCCATCCCTCCCAAAAAGTTGTACTTAGTTGATGAAGCACCTTATAATCAATGGAGTTAGATCAGAGTCCATATGGTATTAAACTATCCCCACTTTCAGATAACAAAATTGAGCCTCAGAAAGGATAAGTAACTTGCCTAAGGGCAGAGAACCAGTAAGGGTCTGAGCCAGGCTTGGGGAACCATGACTCAACTACTTGAAATCCCATGTTCATTCTATTTTAAGGAAAAGTAGATAACTGACTTGGAAGAAATCACCCTCAAGAATGTTTGCTAAACACTGAACTGTGTATTTTGGTAGATACTATGCGAAGGAGTTAGACAAGACAGCTCAGAACTATCTTTGACTCACTGAAGTGGAAACCGTATCCGCAGCTGTCTACCAAGAGCAGTGACACTTGTCTCAGGCATCCTGAGCTGAATGAGCAAACACGGAAATGCAACACACACGGAAGGGGGCGAGCTGATTCCGTCCAAAGCAACCAGCAGCCCCAGGAGACGATCTCAGACACCTCCGGGGCTGCAAGAAATTACCAGCTCTCCTAGTTAATCAAGGACCCATATGAAGACATTTCATCATTATGAATTATTTGATGGATGACTGTGAAATGTGAGGGACTAGGAATCTGGGACAACAGCGTAGTGAGTCTTAACACTCTGACCCAAACTAAGCAAAGAACACTTGAAATTTTGCAGTTCCAAACCAATAGGCTACTCAGACGAGACCTACAGATGAGAAGAAGTGACTTTCATCCCTTCCAACGTGAACCCACAATTCTGAATCAGGTTTTTTTTTTAAGCTGTTCAAGACTCAGCTTCTAAGGAAAAGATGAGCCTCTAACAGAAAGCACAACACGCGCTGCTTGTCACACATCTGCCTCCGAGACGGAGTTCTTCCTTCAAAGGCTTCGTCTGCAAACGAGTTCCTCCAGGTGGGTCTGAAAGCGACATCTGTCCAGGATGGGTAGGAGCCAGAGGAGCAGAAAGAAGATACAGACACGGGCCTTTTCACAGGTGGACAATCAGTGCGCTGTCCCTGCTCCCAGCAGCTTCTCCCCGGTCTCGGGATGAGCCCGGACAAGACAACGTGTGGGAGATGGGAAAAGCATGGGAGCTGGGACGAGTGATGATTCTGATAATCAAGTCACTGCTGTCAGTATTTACCTGGTCTCTTAGAAAGGCTTTCGTACTTCACTTGTCTGACTGCACAAGTGAGCGACACTCTGCAAGGAGGGCCAAAGAGCCCGTTCTGACCACATCCTTCTCACAAAAGGATTTACAACCACTGCTCCTCCTGTACACACATGACCCAACATGCCACTCGCCAGGCACAAATCACACGACATTCACTAGGTCACAAATAATTACCAAAGCAAATAAATAGAAAACAGTGTGCAATTCTGACTGCGGGCCCAAATCATTTTCTAACATCCAACTGCTTACTTAACTTCTGCATCTGGATGCCTAAGAAGCATCTCTAGACTTAAGGTGGTCAAGACAGAACTCTTTATCCACCACCCCCCCACGCCCAAACTTATGCCTTCCTAAACATTTCCCATCTTGGTAAAGGGCTCCACCATCCCGTGTGGAAACAGTGACCTCTCTGAGTGCTGCTGCCTTCAGCCTTTCCCCCTTCACATCCATTCAGCAGCAACCTTGGGCCACTCAACTCCCAAATCCATCCACTTCTATCTTCGCGGCCACCCTGGCCCAAAGCATCATCTCTCTTGCCTTCTAACTTGATTCCTGCCTCTCCCTGTATCAAGTCCATCCCACAGAGCAGTCAAAGCAATGTTGTCAGTCTTCTGTTCAAAATGCTCCAAAGTGGGGCGCCTGGGTGGCTCAGTAGGTTAAAGCCTCTGCCTTCAGCTCAGGGCATGATCCCGGGATCCTGGGATTGAGCCCCACATCGGGCTCTCTGCTCGGCGGGGGGCCTGCTTCCTCCTCTCTCTCTCCCTGCCTCTCTGCCTACTTGTGATCTCTGTCTGTCAAATAAAAAAATAAAATCTTTAAAAAAATAAAATAAAAACAAAATGCTCCAAAGCCTTCCTGGTTTATTTATTTATTAGTCCTATTTATTTCAAAATAAAGTCCAAGCCACAAAGCCTTGAGCAATCCAGGTCCAGGCTACCCTTCCATCTCTGCTTTATCGTACTGATCCCTCATTACTTCTGTCCTCACCTACCAATCCTCATCCCTACAGCTGACTCTGAACTAAGCTAACCACTCTTCCTTCTGTTTCTAGGCCCTGCCTCTCAGCCTTCCACTTACTATTTCTTCTTCTTAGACAGTTGTCCCCAGAGCCAGATCCTCCCAAAGCTGGCTCCTTGGCATTCAGATTTCAGTTCAGATATCATCTCTGAAGCCTTTCTGGAACATTCCATCAGATGTTAAGTCACTCTCTATCACACGCCTCTCTTTCTTCATGGGAGCTGGGACTTTCTGTCCTATTCACTATTGTGGCTCCAGTGCCCAACGCTAGTAAGTGCCAATTATTTCCATGCATTCAACCAACATGAAAGCACATGCTATGTGCCAGGCACTATTCTGTTTAACAAAGATGGCAGTAAACAAGTCAGGGGTCTCGTTCTCATGGAGCCTGATTTTCTGAAGGGAAGCCGACTAACAGATGCCAACAGGTGATACGTAGCAAGTAAAATTAAGGATAAGGGAGATGGCATGAAGAAGGGGTACTATTTTATGTACGGCAATCCATAAAGCCTTGGCAATAAGGCGGCACTGGGGAAGAGACTTGAAGGCAAGGAAGTAATCATGGTTATCTTCCTCAGAGAAACAACATGCGCTAAGGACCTGAGGAGAGAGTTGGCTGCTGAAGGAACAAGAATTCCACTGTGGAGCCTAATGTGTAAGGAAGGTGGAGAGTGGCAGGAGACAAAGTCAGAGCAGAAGTAGAGGGTCTTGTAGGCCACTGAAAAGACTTGCATTTTACACATCTGAGTTGAGAAGACATTGGAAGGTTCAGGGCAGAGGACTGACGGACTTGGTTTATATTTTATAAGGATCACTCCAGCTGTCTAGAGAAAAGAAAAGAACTGGGCTGAAATGATAATGGCTTGTAATGGAGAATGAAAAGGGACCTGGATATATATGTAAAATTGAGCAAACAATTAGCTGGCAAATTGTGGGATGTGGAAGAAAAGCTGAAGATGATTCTATGACTACTAGTTTGAGCTCCTGTAATAATAGAATTGCTATATACTTCTAGAGCAAAGGACAAAGGGTATCCAGTTTGGGACATTTTAAATTTGAGATGCCTATTAGTCATCAGAGAGATAAATTCCAAACTGACAGCTGGAAATCAGGAGACAGATCTGGACTGAAAATATGTATATTTGTATTTGAGAGTCTTCAGTGTATAGAATGTATTTAACGCCATGGAGCTAAATGAGATCACCTACAGCTAGAAGAGTAAAGAGAAAAGTTCCTATAACTGATCCCTGGGGCACATCACAACAGTTAAAGGTCAGGAAGATGAGGAACCAGGAAAAGAGAGTAAGAAACAGCAGTCAAGAGAGGGAAGACAAGACAGTGTTATCCACATGTCAATTAATGTGCTCAAATTAATCTCAGATGTTAATATCTGACCTGCCACTGATTAATGATCTAAATCACAGACTCCAGTGAATAAGGATCATGTCTGGGAAACTAATACTCTCTTGCCAGAAATACTCTGGACAGTTTCCTTCATACTTAAACAAATAACTAGGCCTTCTATTTCTGGACCAATTTACTCTTTACTTAGTCCTTCATACATTCTATTACATGCCAGATACCAGGTACGACTGGATGAAATGCAAACAACTCTTGCATCTGATTTCAAACTACTCCCACAAAGGGGGGGGGGGTTGGGGAGAAGCTCCATTAATACAAGAAGAACTGGATGTTGAGTAAATTGACAACCACATGGCACCCACGTGGGTGGCAGAGCAAGGTCAGAGGGCACCTGCTCCAGGTGGACCCAAGCTGCTAATCACCGGCGCCCAAAAGATTAACAACTATCAGAGAATTACCTTCCCACTGCCTCCTCTGAATGCAGAGGGCGGGGAGCATAATCTTATAGGAGCGAAATCAGTCCCTTTTTACCAGGCCAAACCCACTGCTCCAGCCATCCTGGCCATAGAGCTCCGGACCCCCTCGCCTCCACCCCGCCCCCCGACCACAGGACCCGCCCTAAACCGCTGGAGCGGTCGCACTACAAATCCCACCAGGCACCGCGCGCCCGCAACATGCCGGGTGTACGCTCCGCAGCCGACAGGCCTCCTGGGACCTGAAGTCTCCACTCTGCTCGTCGCTGGTCAGTACCTGGAAGCGATAGAGGAAGGCTTCGGGCCAGAGGAAGAAGTAGGCCGGGCTGATGAGACCGAGTTTGCCAACCAAGGGCACCGCGACAGTGGCGGCGAACCAATAGCGCGTGATGGCCGGGATGCTCCTGAACCAGTCCCCGATGTCCGACATCTTCGCCTTTTAAGTGGCCAGAACAGGCACAGCCGTCCCACTCCCCGTCCCTGGCCCCTCAGGACCCGGCCCGCTCCGCGAGTGGAAGGTGTCGAGGCGGAAGCCGCCCAAGCCGCGGATAAAAAGGCGGAGATGGGCGGACGTGGCGCCACCGAATTCGGACGAGCGAGGGAGCGTTCGAAGGCAAACTTCCCCTTCCGGCGGCCACGGAAGACGTTGACCAGAAGTCCCGCCGCTTAAAGGGCAAGCACGGATTTTTGCCACTGGGCTGAAAAGCTCGGCGGTCCGGGGGCGGGGCAATAGGGGCGGGGCCATAAGAGGCGAAGACACGACTGGTGGGAAACAGTGGTTGCCAGGGGCAACGGCAAATACTCCAACCAATGGCGAAGCTGAACGCCTGCTACTCAGTTCAAGCCGGGTTTGTAATCCAGGTGGGTCTTCTCGGGCGGTGTTTAAAAAGGAAGGAGGAAAATCACACACTTCCTCGTTTGTTCTTGCATTCCACAAATGTCTGTGCGGGGCTTAGCAAGTGTGAGGTGAGTTCTAGGCACCGGGGATCCTGCGACTATCACAGCTGTCGCGGTACCTTCTCTCCTGGAGCTTACATTCTAATGAGGATAGACAACTGCTAGATTAGTGAATACGGTAATTTCAGCGAGTGAAAAAAGTAAAGAATATAATAAAATAGGAGTGGCTGGGTGGGAGCAGGGGAGTGTGGAAAAGATAGCTACTTTAGATGAGAATGATCAGGGAGAACTTTTTCGGGGAGGTGACCTTTGAGCTGAACCACCCCCGCTACCCCACTACCGCCCCAGGCAAAGAACTGAGGAGTTTTCCACGCCGAGAAAACAGCCGCTCCGACCAGCTTGGAATGTTGGAGGGACTGAAAGTAGAAATGATCTTAACTATCAAGTAGGATTTTAAATTACAAATAGATGAGAATCCGTCCTATTCTTAAAGAATCTGTAAAAAGATAGGAAGATAGAACTTTACCTGTTGTTTTCAGATGTAGGTGCTGCAGTTTAAGTTTGATTACACACACACACACACACACACACACACACACAATTGATTAAGCCATCCAATAAAAACCACTAGGGACACACCTGTAGTCCAGAATTAGCTTTATTTGCTGCAGAAGGGGACACTGCACTCTAGAGGAACCTGGACCATCTCATCAATCAAAAGAGTGGGTGAAGTAAAATTTTGGTAAAATTTAAATGAAGCAGTGATTTGATGGGTTCAAAGCAAAGCAGTGCTGTGTGTAAAAGTGTTAACATCAAGCCTAGGCCTGAGCTGAGAAGCAGACCGGAGGTCCTCTTTCCTTTAAAATCTCAAATTTAGGATAAATGTGGACTATTGGGTCTGAAAGGTCCTTATGGAAACATGTGCACCTAGATTGAAAATCGTGTATTAGAATGACCCATATAGTTTAGATCTCTCGGGGAGAATGGAATTTTCCATCTATACCAATAAAATTTCAAACAGCAAAGTGTGTTCAACAATGGATTATTTTATTTTTTTATTATGTTATGTTAGTCACCATACAGTACATCGTTAGTTTTTGAACAATATATTATTTTAGAAAAAATTTCTTAGCACAACATCCCTGATGTCCATTAGCAAAAAACAAGTTTTTACACAATAAAAGGGCACTAAATATTCCACAGTCTGATAAAAACATGTAACATTTGGGGACCTAATGGATATCAAGCATAGTGAATATATGAGAAAACTCTTCATTTATACAGAGCTGGTAGGAATATAAATTAGTACAACCTTAGAACATAATTTTGATATACAATAAAAGCCAGAGCATTGTATAAATAACATAATATTTGAAGATACTGCCTGAGATTCATTCTCTGCACCTCCCCACTACCCATTGTATCTAAGGTACGATAAGAGAAAATGGGTTATCTAGCTTTTGTGGAAAGCTAAGGAAGGTTTCTCTGATGAAATTGTAAAAATTACAATCTCGCTGTGCCTTAGTTTCCTCATCTGTAAAATGGGAGAAGGGAGAACAATAGTACTGCATTCATAGGATTGTTGTTAAGATTCAAATGAGATAAATTCATGTCTAGGCCTTAAAGGAACATCAACATTATTACTATTCTCTTTTTGAAATGTTTTACAATGAAAGCGTATCACTTTTAGAAATAGAAATCTGCATTTTCAAAACCCTATCCTCTCCCACCATGTGATTCTGATCCAAGTTATCTGCAGACCATTCTTTGAGAACCATCAGACTAGATGGACATTCAGGATTTTTCTGTTTCTCTCTGTAAAATCTCTATAGATTGTGATAAACTATTCTGGGCAATAAAAAGGTGGTTTATTCTTAGCTATCTTAAATAGAGGACTTCCCCAATGTTCCCAAACAGCTTGCTCTAGACTTTAATTGCTTAACTTGTAAGGAAGTCCCTATGTTACTGTCATTAACACAAGTCATCATTTAAAAACATGCAGGTAATGATTAGGTAAGTTCTAGGAAACATCGTGGAAGCGTGGGGGAAATAGGTGCTCATATGAATTACTGATGAGAATATACATTGGTATAGCCTCTCTGGCAGGCACTTTAGCAATATTGAAACACATTTCTAGGAATTTAAGCTTTAGATAGACTCCCAACTTTTTGTTTTCTTAAGTGCACAAGAGATTGGAAATATCTGATTATCCATCAATAAGAAACTGATTAAACTATGGTTTATCCATATGATCAAATACTATCAACCTTTACTGGAAAACAATAACTTTCTACACCCCAAAATGGAATGATCTCTAATAATATAGCAAAAAGGACACAAGAGTTACAGTACAATGTACACACTATGCCATGACATGGTTGTGTTGTACAGAAAGCACACACACAAATACACACATGGTAACTGCTTGGAACAGCAGTTACCTCTGGGAAGGGAAACTCAAAGGCTGGGAGACAAGAGTAGGAAAGAGACATTTTACTGCATATTCTTTTATACCTTTTATTATTTTTTAAGATTTTATTTATTTATTTGACAGAGATCACAAGTAGGCAGTGAGGCAGGCAGAGAGAGAGGGGGAAGCAGGCTCCCTGCTGAGCAGAGAGCCTGATGCGGGGCTCGATCCCAGGACCCCAGGATCATGACCTGAGCCGAAGGCAGAGGCTTTAACCCATTGAAACACCCAGGCGCCCCCTTTTATACCTTTTAAATGTCCCAACTCTATGTACTATGTATTTTAAAATTAATTTTCAAAATATGTAGAAAGGTTTGTTCAGAAAGGAACAGGTTCAATGTCAAAAACTTAAGAAAGATTGAGAGGTAGAAAAGATGACCACAACTCTGTCTTTCCTGCTGTGTTGAAGTGTATTTCCAATTGTTTCTCTTAAAAAAGGACTTTAAAAAGCTGGGCGGGGAGACCAACAATTACAAGCACAATATTGCCTAGCTCTGAAGCTTGGCACTGAGTGATGCTGACAGACAGGGGCTGTCACAACAGTCACGCAAGAACACCATCCTAAAGGATGCCTGCCACCTACGTGGCATCTTTGAGAAATTCAAAGCATGTTGCAAAGATGTAATTAATCCTTACGTGAACCAGTAGGCAATTTCATTAGCCCCATCTTACAGGTGAGGCTCTGGCAAGAATAATCATTTATCTGTCATGTCTGGCAGAACCGGTCCTATATTTTTAGTCATAAGTCTGGGAAGCTTCAAAGATTTTGGCACACCGGGCTGGGGGGCAAGGCAGTTACTAAACACCATATAAAGCACTTCACATGTGTTATTTTGATGTGCGAGTGGGTGCGTGTATGTATGTGCTTATGTACTAAATAAAGTCCGCTTCTACAACCATAAAAGAATGAATCTGGATTCCAGTCCTGCCTCTGTCCTTTGCTGACTGTATGACCTTCACTGATCCTACGGGACCATGGGCAAGTCCCTCATAATTATAATAGTATTATCTACCGCTACATCAAAGTTGTTTGTTGTTTGAGGTTCCCAAGCACTGTCTCCCTTAATGGGTACACTAACCCCACAGGCAGGTACAAAATTATTACTGTTATGGAAACTGAGACCTCGTCTAACTCATCGAAGGTCTCATAACTATGCCTGGTGATTCCAATGCAGGTCTGTCTGACCTGAGTCCATCTTTGAACCGCTCTGCTAGACTTCAGTGACAATGTCACTGACAAATGTCAAAGTTCTTTATAAACTCCAAAACATCTCACACATACTAGTTTTACTCTAGTAACTAACACAGAAGGCCAGCAAGTGGGAGGCACTTAATGTTTTGTGGGCGAGTAAACCAGGCTGGCTGGACCAGAGTTTATGCAGGAAGTATTTGGGAAGTATTTGGGAAAAAATAATCCCTTTCATATTCATAATTATCATTGTAATGACTAAATAATACTCTGCTAGTGGTGTAGCATGATCCTTTGACCATTGTCCTATTTCCGATGCCTGTTTTGCGATATTAAATACAGCTTGAACATCTTCGCGTGTGTGTTTTGTATACTAATAGCTTCTTTTTCTTTTTACTAATAATACGTGTTGAGTATTAATAATTTGACACTTTATGGGTATGGGCTTAATAAGTCTTCACAAGAACGTCTCACCCTGGGGGGCCTGTGTGGCACAGTCAGTTAATCATCTGACTCTTGGCTTCAGCTCAGTCAGACCAAGATCCCTGGGATCAAGATCCCTGGGATCGAGCCCCATATCAGGCTCTGCGCTCAGCATGGAGTCAGCTTGAGATACTCTTTCTCTCCTGCCCTTCCCGCTCTCACTGTCTCTCTCTCTAAAATAAATAAATAAAATCTTTTAAAAAAGAAAGAAAATTTCAACCCTTCGAGGTACTTTTATTCTTATTTATAATTGAAGAAACAACCTCAGAAAAGTGAAGTAACTTGCCACTTGCTAGCAAGTGCAAACGTAAGACTTAAAACCAGGTCTACGCAGAGCCCGAGGTTGTACTCTTTAATTCAGCCAGCCAACAGAGTGCTCTGGTCTGGGTGGTTACAAACAACAGAAATTTTTCCCTCACAATTCTGAAGGCTAGAAGTTCAAGATCAGGGTACCAGCAAGGGTAGGTTCTGAATTTAGGGTCTGTTTTGAAAAGTCAGTCCAGCCCTACCGGCCCTCCCTCCCACTCCAGCCAAAACCCTCCCTCCTCTTCCCTTTTCTTTCCATCTGAAAACATTTCAGATGCCTCAAGGGAATGGCCTTCCAGAATCTTATGACTATATATAGTTTTACAACATCAAT